CAGCACTTTCCAAAAGAATAAATCCTACATAAAACAAAGACCAAATTGCTGCAGACTCACAAGCTGCTATGATCTACCCCACTTTAATCCATGCAGCAAAAATCTTGACTTTATTTGGCATTTTCATCCTTTTGCCCTACCATATAGGGCTTGAGAAGTCACAAGTGTATATGTTATGGTTAAGCTGGCAGATAACTTAAACAGCATGTTAAACCTCTGAAGAAATTCTCTGTATATCAGTTATTCCTTAGATAATATGTGTGACTCATTTTAGACTCTTTTTGTACACACCACAGTGGAAACACAACACTGAGTTGAAAAAAGCATACCCTTTTCAGTCTTCTGTGCCTTTAGGTCAGAAGCAAACAGTCTAAAAGTCAACATAGAAGTGCTGAAAACGCACACTATTTTTGAATGTGTTCCCTTTGCAAGTAACACTGTATAAAGCCTAAAATCACTTTAGCAATGTTATTGAAACCACGTAAGTTTCCATTTCCTGATGCTCACTGACCAAAATGTAGCTGCTATACATATACTCATAGCTAAGTTGCCATGCAATACTTCTATTATTATTCCATTTAAAAAGGTTTAAAATAGTAAATTCCACAAGAGCATCAGGGATAACCTATACCTTCCAACTCAAAAGTGTCCCATTTTCAGTGGGGCTTTCTGCCAGGTAAGTGAGCATAGGACTACAAACTAGGTTTGCTTCCCCCAGAGTAGGTCTACTTGCTGAAATGCTTTGAAGACTGCTACATTTGCAATATGTGTCAGAGCACTGACTAACTACATGCTCTTATCTTATTCGGTCAACTCCCCCACATATGCTTAGATAACTGTCAGAAGGAAAAAAGGATATAGGCACAGCGCTATTTCCAACACCATCAACTTTTCCAAGGCACTTTTACGCAATTCTCAAGGCATTTTAGACAATTCTGCATAACACCAAACAGCTCCTATGTAAAATTTTCTTTACTTGAGCGCTCTGACAGTTAATTGACCCACACAATGTTCTATCAGAACTAAAATGTGGATTTTGTTTTCTTGTTACACAAAGTATCTACAATTATTCTCTACGGAAGGTAGTCCTGTAGAGCAAAGAGAGGTCTAAAATCAATTGCATTCTTTCCCTTATATTTCAGCTAACTCTTTTTTGGCTTCTTGAACTGACTACGCTGCCCCTACAACATTTTAGGCTTTTTGCTCAGATGGGGGTGGGTGGGAGGAATCTGGGGAGGGGGAACTGTCTTTGGATTCCACTGGCACTTAAAGTAGTTTCAACTTTCCTCTTTCCCACAAGGACATTAATTAAAATAAGCCCACACACCCACTGTCTAGACCTTCTGTTACCAAAATTACAATTGTGTTTTATTACATACTTACAAGTAGATCAAAGTGTGTGTCTTGCAATGCTATTTAGTGAAAGGCTAAAGTTAAAACTTACTCAGCAAGTTTAGACATACTGACTATATGAGTACATATCTATTTCCCCTGCATACATTTATACACTGACCTGGCTCACACATAACAGCAAACTGTGAGTTAATTAATTCAGGATTTGCCAGATGCAAACAAATGCACTGCCTCTGGCTTGCTCCTCACTTTCACTTTCTGTAAACAAAATACAATTAGCCTGCTTGTAGGTTGCTGCTGTGAGCTGAAAATCTAGAGTGCTGGGTTGGTTAGGGCTAAATGACTCAGAAGTTAATCCATAGTTTGTTGCTAGGTTAAGTAACCTTTGATTTGCTTTTAAGTGCATACTGGCCCACTGTATGCAGTTCTGCCCTTGGGAAACACAAAGTCCCAAATACAGTTCCAATCCCAGCTCCTCCTGTCCAGTTCCTAACCTAATCAAGTCATCCAGTATGCATGCTGAATTAACATAAAATTAAGTACCTCTATAACTGAAATGTGCCAGAACCCATTAAAATTAAGAGACCTCAATCCATAGCAGGCATCCAGAACTCATATTCCACAAACTACCCATTCCTTATAGTCATCACCAGTAGCAAGGGAAAAAACAGCTCCAACAATAATAAGGATACCCTTCCCCTCTTTGATCTTGGGTGGGGAAACCCTTTAAGATAAACCTACAATCAGTAATCAGTGCTGTATGACGTCAGGCAGATAACCAAGGACAGGGCCAGCCCTATCATCAGGCACAGGTTAGCAACTGTCTCAGGAAGCAGGTGCTAGAGAAAGCAGTGACAGCCCTTGACCATGGAAAGGAAGAGGAGCTGGTAAGCCACCTTGGGTCCCTAAAAAAGGAAGTAATGTGCCTCATAAATGTAATGTGATAATAATAATTTAAATTATGACCTCTCCCTCTGTAACTCAGGTAGATTTTACAGATGTATCAGGTGCCTATTTGCCTCAAGGGCCTCCTTTCCCCCTCTCCCCCTCCTTAGTGCCCATCAAACAATCGCTGGTCAAAAAGGAATTCTGCTTGAGTAATCCACCTGTAACACATACTGATTTTTGTTTTATAATAAAACTGTACAGTCTCAATTCTAAGCCTGTCTGCTCTTTGCCAGTTTCTGCTGATATCCGTAAACTTCCAACGGCATGCAGTGACTCTGAAAGACTCAAAAAACATACATGCCTCCTGTAGACAACATGAACATTACACATGTGGAGGAGAAAATTCAGGCTAAGGTCAGGCTGATATAGCTTACGTATGTGCCACTGCCTTTCTTTCCTTTTTTCTTTTGTTAAAGATGTTTATATACCATTCTCTCAGCACAATGCCCTCAGAAAGGTTTGCCTTCCAAGATACAGTTGAGCCTTTTCTATGGGAGCATCCTATCTGGGGAAATTGCTGTTCCAAGACCATAGATAATCTTTGCCCTTAACTATATTCTGTCTAAAGACTTAACTTTTTCAGCAAATTTTTGATTCTGCCATTGTTTAAGTCATACTTTTTCTATCTCTCTGGATTATTTTCTGATTTTTATCGGGTGGCATGTTCTCTTATTCTAGGGTTTTTTACTCCTTTAAAATTGTATATAAATCTATTGTGAACAGCTTTGTGAAGGCCTGGGCCTTGAAAAATGAAATGTAACTATGTAGATAAATTAAAATTAAAACCTTAGGAATTTAGGTTTGCAGCTTAAACTAAATTAACCTGCAAAAGAATTTTAAATATTAAAACCAGCCATATCCCTTCAGTTAATCCAGCAGATTTTAACTCCAACTTTACCTGGGCAACCTTTACAACCTTTACTTGCAACCCATAAGCTTCTAATTACAAGTGTGCAGCTAAGAACATGTTGATCATAAACTGATAGCTGGAAGAACAGGAAAATGCAGTTTAAATCTCAAGTGCAACCACACATCTCGATTGACCTTAAGCAAACCATATCTGTATCAGCCTCAGTTCCTCTATACCAGGGGTCCTCAAACTTTCACAAGAGGGGGCCCGTTGAATGGTGGTGGCGCAGGCTGGAGAGATGGCAGAGGGCAGCAGCGGGCGCGCACGGTGAGGTGGTGGTTTGCTTGTTCGGAGATCGTTTTCTCCAAAACCTCTGAGGTGGGCCAGATAAATGAGCATGGCGGGCCGGACCCAGCCCACAGGTCATAGTTTGAGGACCCATGCTCTATACTATGGGGCTAACAGCACTGTTTTCAAAAGCATTGGATACTTCTGGGAATGCAATGCTGGAGACAACAGGAGTGTGGAGCATCTATACTCTTAGTGTCCAGGGTCCACTAATTTGCCACAATTAGAATGTTTGAGGAAACAGACGTTGGTCTTCTCCAGCAGCACAATTCTTATGTTCCTAGGGTAAATCTTTTATGCCTCTTTTATGTTCTAAGAAACACAGGGTTGCTGATAGAAACAATAGTCCTATATTAAGTCTTCTACCACTCCACCATTATGTGCAGTACAAATTGCCTTGTGTCCTGATGCCTTTGGACCCTGAAAGGATGGGGAAACAGCATGAGACTGCCATTTTTAGTGGTAGTCTTGTGCTTTTAATAAGATGCAAACCTACCTTAGTTGCACTGACAAGCTCTTGGTGCTTGTATGTTATTAAGTTGGTCCATCCCCAAGTTATAAGTAATGGCAGCCAAAAGGCCAGAAAATGCAAGTCTAACTTTTGCTTATTTGCACACTCTTGGAAATGTTTTAAATATACTCAAGAATTGAGCAGAATGGAAGTACAATTGGTTTAGCTACCATACTAAGCAAACAATCACACTAGTGGTGTTGCTACAATTGGGACACCCAGCCCTAAGAGCTAAAACTGAAAAAAGAAGAGGACACAAACATGCACTTATATATAATAACTGGCAAAATCATATTTGCCTTCATTACCACCAAGATGGTACCGTCATGACCATTTTTGATAATACAGGTAAGTAACTTCTCATTAATACTGCACCTTACAAGGTAGTAGATCAAAATCTACAAGACATTAGGACCATATGTGCATAGTGAACATAACAAAGACTTATTAAATACTATCAAGTGTTGATCCCATAATTCTCCTATTCACTTTCATGGAACTTAATTCCGCAAGGTATGGCTGTGCTAAGTTTCATTTTCTTAGGCTGTCACCACAACCTGCATCTATATTTGAGCTTAACTAGTCAGCTTGAATTTTTTTCTGTAAGTGAAAAATTATTTCATCAAATATCCCCATCACATTACTAGAAAATCACAGAAACAAAATAAATTGATTATATGCCAACACACAACATAAACTGTGTGCTGGACTGCAGCCTTTCAGACAGTAAAATTGGCGTATCAACTTGCTTCTAAAAACATGCCTTTCGTTCCATTTTTCTCCAGCTTACCATTTTCTACTGAAGTTAATATATTAAAATTGTAGCTTTCAGAAAGTATAATTTTAAAAGTATTAGTTGTTCCCATGATTAGTGTCACTGCAGAAAGAAAACAAGAATATACGCCTGCAGGTGCATATCCTGCAGCATTTATCATGGAACATGTAATTTTAAAAAGAATAATTATAACTGTAAAAAATGCATATACCTACCAAAATAGTCAGCCTTTGGACAAGCATCCATCTCCTGTTCTAGGCGCTGGGTAAGAGCTTCTAATTTTAATTCAGCAGTGGATGGCCCTTGTTCTTGCTGTGGAAGGAGTGTCTGACAGGGTAGTTTTATTTTTGCAGGAGTGGAGGTTTCTTGGTGACTGGAATCATGCTGCGGAATGGTAATGCCCTCTTTAAAAGGAGATTTTGGAACATCAGAAATCATTGGTCCATGAGATAGTGCACCGATGGAATTCTGCTCAGGACTCATGCCAGATGCAGCACAATTAATCCTCTGATTTTGACCATGAATTACAAAATGACCTGTAGGCTTTGTATGAGTGTTAGTCTGCTGGTAGTCTACATTTGGAGGTAGTGGAGAAGGAAGTGAAGCAGAAATAGAAGACTGAATGCTATCATTAGGTCTTGATGACTTGGCTCCAATACTTTTATTTGGGGCACCAGAAGCCCACATCTCTGTGCCACAGTTTGGATTAATGTTATCAGACTGATTCAAAAGTGCCTGAGATGGGTGTGCTGATGGAGCAGAAAATGAAGAAGATCTATGCTGTGAATACCCCACAGGCAATTCCTCACTAAACCCTACAGAAGAGGGCAAATGAGCACAGGTATGTGAGAAAGGCGATGATCTCTGGAAAGCTGGGTTTTGGTCATAGCTTTGACTAAGTCCAGGACCTTCCCCTCCACTTTCCTGACTTCCATACCCACTTTCTGAAGACCTGCAGGAGTTCGGAAGCTGCTGATATGGATGGAGATCTGCCTGGGTTTTAGTAGGACTTCTCTGTAACGACTCATCGTGACTGAAGTTTGACCATAAATGAGAGCTCACAGTGGGTTTCAGGCCTGAAAACTTACCCACATCTCTCGCCCAACCTTGCATACCTGTCCGATTATCAGTGTCATTGGGCTCTTCACGGGAAAGGGAAGAAAAAGATGTCTTGGAACTACATGTATTCACTTGTCCTCCTCTGTGATTACCATGCCTTCTAGATGTTTCTGGACTTGCACTGTATTCATAGTCACCACTGGCTCTCCTGTCATCTTGATATAACTTTGCTTGCTCTCCATCAGTATTACCCTGGGGCTGGTTTGGGAAGGCAAGCTGATGGCCTGCACACACTGTTGATATAGCCAAAGGAGGCTTTGCTGTGTTTTCTCCTGAATGCAGTTTGTTTGTTCCTACAGCACCTCTGGCTATAGGATGGCCTGGAATTTGATGCTGAGTACCAAAACCAATCCCACCATTTGGGGCCCCTGGGGCTGCTTTCATCAACTCCTCTTGTTCTCGCTGTTTCTGCAGGTGAATTTTGGCCATTTTTGTAGCAAAAACCTTTCTGGTTTCTTCAAATTCTGGGTTATTCCCTACTGCTTTGTCTACTCGGAAAAGCCCATCTTTGGAGGCTTCATACATATTAAGATCTTCTATAAATTTACTTGCTTCCAAACCCAAATTATCATATTTATCCATTTTTTTTTCAACTGCTTTCCAAGAGGGAGGAAAAAAAATAAGATGGTGAGATTTTAAGTAATGAAGATTCTCAACTTTGTAAAACTCACGATTTCCACTCTGTAACCAATGGAGTTATTTAAAACTGCCTTTAAAAATCCCACATAATATGTAATTAATAACCGTAATTAAAAAAAACAGGAAGCTTTATAACCCAAAAGTTGTTTTAAAAACACTTCTATCTTCCTCAGCACAGTCTGTATTCCAAGTACATTTAACGTCCAACTTTGTTGTGCTTCCAATTTGTTAAGAAATGGAAGGCTACCAGAAACATTTCTTCAGTTATTACAGACTTCACTTAGGTGAACGCTGGAAGAAAAAAAGTAGAGGATTATATCAGTAGGCGTCTCTCACCGAAACTAAACATCTTTAGGCTTCTGTCAGGATCAAAAGAAATCAGTTCCTGGTTTAATATGAAACCTCGAAGCCAGACAAAGCTTATCAGTCAGTGAGTCTTGTTTGGGTCTGGTCGGACGTTTACACCGAGACTGGCGTAAACAGGAAAAGCCCACCAACCCGGAGGAAACAAGGACAAGCTTCAGAAATGCCGCAGTTTGCTCAGTGAGGGGGAAGGAAGGAAGCGCGCGAACTCCAGACTTTTCTCCAGCGAGGGGAAATCTTCACAATTCGCACGTCCTGTCCTTCACCCCCTACCCCGCCTGCCTGACTTAAACTTGGGAAGGAGGGAATGCTCTCCTCCCCTTCAACTTCCTCAAGAATCCCCGCTCTTCTTGGTCTGCCTCCTCCTCCCTTCTCCCACGCCCCCGGCAAAACAGGGGAGACGCTGGCAGCGCGCGCGCAGCCCTCGCAATTCCCGCGCGGGGAGCTGCAAGAAGCGCGCGCGCGCGGCTGGGCCCGGGACGTTCCGCTGCGTGCACGCGAGGCAGAAAGCGCGAGCAGCGCCACAGCTCCGCAGTCCGTCGCCACGCACGTTTTCTCGGAGAGAGTTAAGCTCCGCCGAGCTCAGTGGGGCTTTCTCCCGAGTAAGCGCCCCCACAGTCGCCGCCGTACTCACTCGGAAGTCTTTGGCCACTTTTCTTCCCAGCCACCCCGTCCGAGCCCAGGCTCCGGGCCGTTGAGGCACTTCGGCCGCCTCCGCCTCTTCTTCCCTTCCTCTCTCGCTCGCTCTACTGTCCCTCTCCTTCCCTTGCCAGGCTCGAGGAGGAGGAGCTGAGTCAGACGGGGAGGAGTTCCGAACAGGTCCCGTTGGCTCTGCAACGTGGTGAGACGGAGAAAGAGACCGAGATGTGTCAGCGCCTGTTAGCAGCGTGCGAGCCAGCCAAGCGGTTTCGCGCAAGAAAAGGAGAAATGGAAACCCGGGGCAGAAGAGGCGAGAAAGCTGCTCTGTACTCAGCTGGACCAGAGGGCGGCCTCGACCTCAACAGGGCACGGCGTAATGCGAGGCTGGGTTTAGTTTCGAAAGCAGTTTTTCTTGCCAGCGATGCCAGGACTCGAGCCGCTTCCACCTTAGTCCTCCAACATTGCATTTAGCCTCAGCCCTTTTCAAGGTACAGGGTGCAGAGTTTCTGTATTCCTAGTTCAATGTGAATTTACCTGTGCGCCGCCGAGCAAACTATGGTTATTTGGCGACCACTAAGTGTAAGGAATATCTTATCTTAACAACTGTGTGAGGTAAATTGGATCAGGGTTGAACCAGTCCTTTCTGGGCTGTTTTGCTAGATTTCTGAGATCTATCCGTTGGAGCCAGGGGACAGCCATACACTTGGAACTAAAGAAGGGCAAAATGTACTTAATGAGCTTAGCCCAAAAGTTTTTGTTCCATTGCCAGAACTGAGCTCAGCCTTTTCACCATAAGAATGCTCTCTTGATTTCCCAATAAGTTTTATTTCAGTACTTGCATAAACTTTCAGTTATAAGTCAGATTCACATGTTGATCTACTGTAAGATCAGAAATCTACTAGTATCTGATTTAGGCTGAAAGATGCACAACGCCTGACCCAAGATTACTCATTTAGTGCCCTCCATAGGCTGTGATTTGTTTCTGTTTGACTTTATGGAGGAAAGAAGGTGCCACAAATAGCTTTTGTATAAACAGAGATGGTTTAGTACATTAAACTTGTTCTTGGAGGCCTCTTGTGATACCAGCATTGTACCCACATTACAGAATCATGTACAGTACTGTGTGGAGTAATGCTTGTCATTCAGGTCTGAGGATCACTACCCAGATGCCCCCAGATTTATGTACTGAAGTGTTTGTATGCAACTCTTCAGCCAAAAGGCCTTCCAGAGCAGTTTAGATGCAATCATGAAAAACCTTTTGACAATCTAAAAAGTCATGATGCATAACAAAAAGGATTGGGAGGGAAGAAGAATGACTCCACTTCCCCCTCTCATCTGCCTCAATATAGCCCATTGACATCTATTTTTCTTTCTGGAGTTCCATATTCCTGATGGAAGTATTTCTACCCAAGAAACAGATCCAAAATACCCAATGCTGACGTGTGGGTCAGATGAATGGGTTGTGTTTAATACTATTGCCAAGGTTGTGTGTGTGCCAGTGCCTGTTGGTTTCTCCATTCAGCCAACCTGTGCATGGCTGGCACTATGTGATTCCTGTAAACCAGCATTCCTGTACCTGGTGCACAACTATGTGGGTCTTCAGGTCCCATCAGCCCCAGCCAGTATTGCCAATTGTCAATAATGCCAGGCATTCCAGTCTGAAATATTTGGAGGGCACCAGCTTGCGGAGGGCTGCCCTAGGCAAAAGCAGGCTTCTGAGGGAGCTTTGAATACAAACAAAGCTGTCTAAAACAACAGACAGCTGGGTCTGATCCTGCATGGATGTCAGTTCCTTAGATCTGGAAGGCACTATAACTAACACTGCAACAATATGGTTGTTAATGTATTAGGGCAATGGATTATATGGCTCAGGACCACCATACTTGATAGACCTCCTCTCAGCATGAACTACACTATGTTCATTGTCTAAGGTCTTCCAACAAGGCTTACAAGACAGCAACAGGCGAGAGAGCCTTCCAGTGGTGGCCCAACTATGAAAATATCTTCCCATCCGATATCAACACTGTTATCTTTTCAGCACTAAGGGCATGTACTGAAAAAGTAAGAGAAGGGCAACAAAAATGATCAAGGAAGGGGCTGGAGCAACTCCCCTATGAGAAGCGACTGCAACAACAGGGACCGTTCAGCTTAAAAAAAGGTGAGTAAGGGGAGACATGATAGACATGTTTAAAATAATGCATGGTGTGGAGAAGTAGAGGGGAGAGATTTTTCTTCCTCTCTCATAACACTAGAACCCAGGGTCATCCCATGAAGCTGATTGGTGGGGGGGCTTAGGACAGATAAAGGAAGTACTTCTTTACACAACATATAGTTATACTATGGAATTTGCTGCCATGGAGTGATGGCTACCAATCTGAATGGCTTTGAAAGGGGATTGGACAGATTCACGGAGGAGGAGGCTATCGGTGGCTACTAGCCATGCTGGCTGTGTGCTGTGTCCTTTACCAGAGGTGACATGACTATGTACACCAGTTGATGGGGAGCTCAGGCAAGCAGAGGTCTTGCACCCATTCTGCTTGAGGGATCCTGTGCACAGCGGGTTTGTCACCAGGTGCACAGAGTGCAAGACTAGATGGTCATTTGGTCTGATACAGCATGGCTTTTTGGATGTTCTGGCTGAGACCTTCCTTTTCCCTCAGGCATCTGGCAGTATATGATAAGGTTTGAATCAGGCCCTGGAATGTTTTTACTATGGTTTATTTAAGATTATTGTGTTTCTGTGTGCTATCTGTTTACATGCTTGTCCAAAAATGGGTTTTTATAATATATATTGCTGTTTTAATCTTTGTCAACTGCCCAGGGAGTGTCATTTTCTTTCAGCAGTGTACAGACATGATAAATGAAATGAAATGTGCTCAGAAGCAGTCTTGAGTTTCAAATAGCTGCTTACCCAGCTAATCAGAAAGCACCACCTTTTCATCTACTTCACAAAGGCCATGCTATGTGATCTCTTTGCCAATCTAAGCCTTGGCTATGCAATCAGTTTGCCACAACTTATTATTTCTATAGCCTCATTCATTAAAAAAATACTTGATAGTTTTTTCTCAAAATAAATCTGTATGGCAGGTTATTCATGTTGCTGTTTTACATATTGGGACACTCAGAAAGTGACTTGTCCAAAACTGACTGGACCAGCTATAATCTAATTATTCTTTTGGCTGGTTTCCATATTCCTTCATAATTTTATTTGTACAATCTGCCACATGATATTTTGGCAAGTACGCAGCACCCTGCAAAATAGTTGGAGGATGCATTCCAATTATAGAAACTGAAGGCTATTTCTCTCTGGGGTTCTGTGTTGAAACTGTTGCTACCCACCCAGCCTATTCCAGGAAACAATTCCAACACAAAAGTTTAGAACAATTTATTCCATTACAATGGTTCTGGTTACAATCTAAAATAATATAAAATACCAGCACCATGTTCACAGATACAAAACAAATAATAATAATAATAATAATAATAATAATAATAATAATAGAAGATTAGTGGCAAATCAGTCTTAAATAAGACAGATATAATCCTGAATGGAGGCCTACCTGACTTGTTTCATGGAAATTGAACTGAATTGAGACGATTGGCTCTGCCTCAATACAAATTTCTCCACCTGGATACTTGGTCTAGCATTAGCACAGAAGTGTGGAACACATGGCCTCTAAGCATATTTAGCTATTTTTTCCTTGGTTGTTTATTTAAAATATTTATATCCCACCTTTACAAACAGTTCAAGGTGGCTAATAAAAAGAAAAAGAAATACTATAGCAAGAGATTTAGGGTGTAGTCCTATGCATGTTTAGACAAAAAATAAAAAATAAAAAAAATGCTGCAACTCACAGCATTTCCCAGCCATCATTCTCCAGAATGGCTGGCTGTAGAAAAAAGGCCTACAACCATTGCGTATGCTGGGAGTAGTGAACCCCTTTTCTGTCTAAGCTTGCATGCATCTTAATGCAGCTAATGAACTTTCCCAAAAGGAAGATTTCTGCACCATGACAAAAGACCATCAGGAATGGGTGCTGCCACTCAAAAGACACTCTCTTGAGTCTCAGTCAAATCTCAACGAATGTTGGGTACTTGAGAGAGAGACTGTGTTCACACAACCTGACAGGCAATCCTATGTGGTCACTACTATGGTTCGTAGTTTTCCAGCATGGTCTTCCTGACCACTTATTGATTCGATTTGTATGCTGCCCCATTAGCCATAAGACTCTGAGTGGCTCGCAACAATCAAGTGGTTTCTTTGTGACTGTCATTTACATTCTCCCTACTCAGCCTTCCCACTGTTTGCATGTATCTTATCAGACACTGAAATTCAGTCCCTATCTGTGTCACCTTCCTCCTCTTTGGTTTACACAGAGGCTGGATGGCTGTAGTGGTTTCTGTGGTTGCCGTTCTTTTCCGTGAACTCTGTGGTAGTTGGGTTAAGGCAACATGAGAAGCCATGGTGGTATGGAAAACCATAGAACAAACCATTGTTTCTCATCATGGTTTCTACTATGGTAGAAATTACCATGGTAAAATACCACAACTGGGTTCAAACAGCGCAGTAGACCAGCAATGGTAAACCCACTGTGGCTTGTCATGTATGAATTCAGTCAGAGTATGGATTCCACTATTTGATGTTTTCTCAGAATTAAGGCCAACTGTTAGCAGGGCTTATACCTAGGTGCAAGTTTTTAAGCAGTTTTAAAGTAAATATGCTTGATTCTGTAGTAGATGAAAATAATGGTTCTGCATCCCACAAGCAATTCTAGTTTCCAGTTAAGTGATGAGGACCAACAGAGATTTCTAGATCACTTTGCTAATGATGAGTAGACCCAGTTTGCATGATCAAACAAACCATGTTTTGTAAGTCATGGGTATTGTGAGCATGTAGGAAGGAGTGACCATGCTGGTTTCCATTCACTTGCCTGCTTTCACTCTGAATTAACAACCCATAGTTGTTGGGTTATGTCTGGGTTGTTTAACCCATAAATCACCCAGAGTTTCCAGATTTGCATGTCATGAAACAACCCAGGAATGGAGAGTTCCTGCATTGTAAACTGATAGCCAAAGTGGCAAGCAGGCCACTTACTTCTCTGTACCTGCTAATTCCCTGCCATGA